GGTGTACCTAATAAAGTGGCCGGTGAGTGTATATGTATATGTATATGTATATATATGCAGGATAAGACCCTCAGTGTAAACAGGTTTAATTTGAAACTCTCACCTCCCCCAGGTAACAGATCTGCTTGTGAGCCACTTCTACAAAAACCTCAATGATGAGGTTGATTGTCTCTGGTGTGTTGCTGTAAACCTGGAAGAAAAAAAAATCATCTGTTTAAAGAAGAAATTTACTTTTAAACAATTCCTAAACTGAACAAGACAGCTGTAATGATGTTTTTGATTGAAATGCTTTGATTTTAGATCAGTTCCTGAATATTTCACCACAAAGCATCCCGCCGTCTTTAACTCTTACCTCCATGAGACCGATGCAGCTGGACAGGAAGTCCATGAGGAAAGAGAAAAGCGACGCCACGTTGTCGATCTGTGTGGCCTCGGCGATGCCGCACAGCGCCTCCAACGTGGCGACAATTTCCTGTTTGACAGCCTCTTCCTGGCTGATCTGAGCGAAATTCTCCTGATTGATGAGGTTGAGAAAACGCTGCTGTAGAGGATGAAGCACCTGAACAGACACATCAACAAACCAGGGTTCTTACAGTTTAAAGGAAGTTAAATTTAAGACTTTCTAAGACTTTTTAATGCCAACTGAAATTAAATTTAAGACCAATTTCATAATAAAACACAAATGACAAAAAAATACAACTGTGGCAGCAAGTATTCAAATATTTTGCTAATAGACCAATTGTTTTATCCATATTTAACAGCTTTTTCATCAAATATAGCAAAAGCATTCTTAGCAGTTAGTTTAATGACCCAAAAGTTGGAGTTTTAGGACCCACAGTGGGGTCTTAACCCCAATTTGCTGTAGATGAAACTTTAAAGTGCCGGTGACATCAAAATATGTAAGAAAAGTTAATGCCTTTTTGAAAAGACAACATTATTAACATATTATAAAACAAACTACACATTGCTCAGATGGACAGCTGTTGAGATATTTGCATCTAAGTAACAGGAAGTCATGTCAAAGGAGAATGTCTGCATGTAAATATAAAAAAAATAAATGTTACCAATTATTTTAATATTTGAGATAAATTACAATCATCCTACTTACAAAATAGGCAATATGGCAGAAAAATGTATCATAATAAGTGATTTATACAGTGGGGAAAATAAGTATTTAGTCAGTCACCAATTGTGCAAGTTCTCCCACTTAAAAAGATGAGAGAGGCCTGTAATTGACATCATAGGTAGACCTCAACTATGAGAGACAAAATGTGAAAAAAAATTGAGAAAATCATTTTGTCTGACTTTTAAAGAATTTTTTTGCAAATAATGGTGGAAAATAAGTATTTGGTCAATAACAAAAGTTCATCTCAATACTTTGTTGTATATCCTTTGTTGGCAATGACAGAGGTCAAACGTTTTCTGTAAGTCTTCACAAGGTTGGCACACACTGTTGCTGGTATGTTGGCCCATTCCTCCATGCAGATCTCCTCTAGAGCAGTGATGTTTTGGGGCTGTCGGCGGGCAACACGGACTTTCAACTCCCTCCAAAGGTTTTCAATGGGGTTGAGATCGGGAGACTGGCTAGGCCACTCCAGGACTTTGAAATGTTTCTTACGAAGCCACTCCTTTGTTGCCCTGGCAGTGTGCTTGGGATCATTGTCATGCTGAAAGACCCAGCCACGTTTCATCTTCATTGCCCTTGCTGATGGAAGGAGGTTTGCACCCAAAATCTCACAATACATGGCCCCATTCATTCTTTCATGTACACGGACCAGTCGTCCTGGTTCCTTTGCAGAGAAACAGCCCCAAAGCATGATGTTGCCACCCCCATGCTTCACAGTTGGTATGGTGTTCTTTGGATGCAACTCCDCATTCACTTTCCTCCAAACACGACGAGTTGTGTTTTTACCAAATAGTTCTACTTTGGTTTCATCTGACCATATGACATTCTCCCAATACTCTTCTGGAACATCCAAATGCTCTCTAGCAAACTTCAGACGTGCCTGGATATGGACTGGCTTAAGCAGGGGGACACGTCTGGCACTGCAAGATCTGAGTCCCTGGCGTCGTAGTRTGTTGCTGATGGTAGCCTTTGTAACATTGGTCCCAGCTTTCTGCAGGTCATTCACTAGATCCCCCCTTGTGGTTCTGGGATTTTTCCTCACCGTTCTTGTGATCATTTTGACCCCACGGGCTGAGATCTTGCGTGGAGCCCCAGATCGAGGGAGATTAGTAGTGCTCTTGTATGTCTTCCATTTTCTGATTATCGCTCCCACAGTAGATTTCTTCACACCAAGCTGCTTGCCTRTTGCAGATTCAGTCTTCCCAGCCTGGTGCAGGTCTACAATTCGGTTTCTGGTTTCCTCCGACAGCTCTTTTGTCTTCACCATAGTGGAGTTTGGAGTATGACTGTTTGAGGTTGTGGGCAGGTGTCTTTTATACTGTTAACGACTTCAAACAGGTGCCATTAATACAGGTAATGAGTGGGGGAAAGAGGAGCCTCTTAAAAAAGAAGTTACAGGTCTGTGACAGCCAGAAATCTTGCTTGTTTGTAGGTGACCAAATACTTATTTTCCACCATTATTTGCAAAAAATTTCTTTAAAAGTCAGACAAAATGATTTTCTCAAATTTTTTTTCACATTTTGTCTCTCATAGTTGAGGTCTACCTATGATGTCAATTACAGGCCTCTCTCATCTTTTTAAGTGGGAGAACTTGCTCAATTGGTGACTGACTAAATACTTATTTTCCCCACTGTATCAGCCGATAAAGATAATCATTGATTCATTTTTAGACCTATTTCTTTTTCTCCTTTATTCACGTCTTCCTCTTGAGTTGTTGCACTCATTTTTTCCTTTCACGCCACTTTGTTCTTTTTTGTTTTGAAGCAGTCACGAGGCCCGGTGGTGAAACATGAAACTGCTGCTGCGCATGTTAACAACGTTTTGCTAGTTGACCAAAAACTGAGTGAGTTTGATGCCAACATTGCTTAGCTGGGCTTTAGCTGCTGGTTAGCTGAGAGCTGTTACTGTCCATAATTTTTATTTCCCTACGCACATTTGTTTTACTGCCCCTCTAAAATGATTGTATTTTGAATCATAACAGCTGATAAGCTGTATATGCTGAGAGACTGTTGTAAGATCAGGTGTTTGTTGTGTTGGTAAACTGTGCACAGGAAAGAAGAGGCAAAAAAGCTCATTTTTGTTTTTATCTGGCAACTCTGATGCTGATCTTACTCATTCATTGATCACGTCGGTATGATCACAGTTACATCTGAACCTGGTGAAAAAAATCCTTCGAACCCAGGATGTTTATTGCAGAGTGAGTAGTACAAAAACACTCTGCTGTCTGTAATTTATTGTAATTATTGTTAGTTTAGAAGAAACTTTAGCCGCAATTGTCTGTGCGCTCATGTGCACTTTCACACCTGCGGCGTACTTTACACCTCCATGGGGGATGTTACAGAAAAGACCTGGTTTCAGAATGTGCCGGTGTCAAGAGACTGATCAGCAGGGACGTATAAACCCTGGTTTATGCTTCCAGTCACACGTCTCGTTCCACCTGCTGAGGGACAAAAAAACATGCAACCACCGTCTGCTCTCCCGCTGCTCTCCCCCGGTGACTGCCGTCTTGTGCATGGCCTCCAGTCAGAATTGTGAGATGCTGAGCTCACAGCTCGGAGCGTGTGATTGGTCAGAACTGTGGTGTCTAAAGTTGGTTGTTGTTCATTGTCTAATGTTTTAGGTGCTGCACTAGTTCAACACAGCTGAACCTAAGGAGTGCTTCATTAGTGGGTCTCTGCAGACCTGGATGGTAAACTGAGAAGGTAAATCCTATATTTGGACCAGCTGTGTTGAAGCAGGGACAAAAGTAAAACTTGCAGGAGACCGGTCCTCAAACAGTTGGGCATGGCTGGGTTAGAACTTTGTGTTTGTTCATGAGGATCACCTGCACTRCTGCAGCGCTGAGGAGCTGAAACTTCAACCAGCTCTGCCTTCTGCAGCTTATTTTGTTTAAAATGTTTTTTTGCCTGAAGCCAGTTGTTAAAAGAGCTAGAAGAGCAGCTGATCTGATCCTATTGAATGTGAACACGCAGCTGATTTTCAGATTTTCACGTCTTTTTTTAAATTTACATCACCAGCGTTAACGTAAAAAAAAAAGCGTTTCCTCCGCGGACTCTTCTTCATCCAACACGACACTGATCACTGAGTGATAAAAAAAAAAACAAACAAAAACAACAACAACAAAACAAACAAACAAAAAAAACCCCCACAATATCCAGCCACTTTTATTGCTGTTTATATACTTATATGAGCTGTGGGAGGACAGAGGGAGGATCTATGATAATTTACAGCCCACCGTGTCTTCAGCTCGTTTATACTCGATCAGGAAACACGTCCAGAATGACACAATCTCCAATCCGCTGTCTCACGTCTAACTGAAGTATAATCCAAGCTTAAATGAGCGACTGGATCACAACAACAATGTTACGTTTTCATTGAAAACCATCTGTGTAAACGTGTAAATCAAGCTGTACTCATTACTCATAGCAAATGAGTAGCTTACTGGAGATAAGAAGGTGGTCTGGAAGAGATGTGGAAGTGATCATCAGTATGTCTGTGTGTGTTTAATTTGTCCTTTTCTTGTTTTTTTTTGTAACCCTAACCCTTATGCTTAATCACATGAAATGTTTGGATGTTTTTACCTTTTTGTGTATGTCACAGGAGTTTATAAAAATCACACACAGACAGAATGAGGCTCTTCCTGGTGGACCCATGCTGTGGATTATACTCCCTTTGGACACTTATTCACATTTTGTTTTTTGTCTTTCATTTTTAGATCTCAGACAAAGTTAATCAACTTTTATCTGCACAACTTTTTAGATTTTTTTATCCACTTTCAATAAAGTTTCATCTGTGAACACAAAACCTAAATTGCACCACCAGGGTGTTTTCTGTCATCTTTCCTTTAATTTTACTGTGCTGATTCTGTCTGTGCACAACATGAAAATGCACAAGCAGAGCTAAACTTAGCGTTGTAAAATGAATCCCCTTCCTGTCCTGGAAACAGCTGGATCAACGACAGGTTGAATTACTGGGATCTGGTGGTAAATACTGATCTAAAGGATCAGATCCTGCCTCTTTAGGAGTCAGGAGTCATACAAATCAGAGTAACTGAGGTTGGTGTTTGATCAGTTGTCAGGTCGCTGCTCTTCCTCCTCACAGAAACCTGTCAGAGTTTAGACAGAACACCTGTCTCACTGCTTCACCTCTCCTCTAATACTCTGGAGCCATGTGGCTTTACACCCTGGCTTACTACAGCCAGCTTATTAGGACAAAAACCTGCAGGATCAGAGTGAGGATCAAGTTACTGACTACATCCATCCAGTCCTATCAGGATGAGGAGTTTCATACTGCTAAATAAATTTAGTGGAAGACAAAAAGCTCAAATAACTAGGTTTAAATGCCAACAAAAGTTCAATCTTTTAAGCTTTATCAGCTACAAAAACGCAGAAGTTGTGAACTAGGATTTGTTGTGCCCAGTTCCACTGACTGATATGCTTCAGTAAAAAAATAAAGTTTTTTTAATCTGTTTCACTACTTTAGATCAGTGGTTCCCACTTTTTGTCTTCTGACCCACAAAATATTCATGGCAAAAACTTGTGACCCCAAATATTACTGGTCTGAGTACATGAACTTTGTTAATAACCCTAAAAACACAGGATTTTTGACAATCTAAACACCTTGTACACAAATATAAATACTTAATTTTACTTATTTTGTGTTTTTGTAATAATTATAGGGAAAATATTACATCAGCAATTATTTTAGTCCCTTTAAATTGATTTCTGGAGATTATCCAAGGTGCTTCATGACTCATAATTGGGTCCCAAGTCCAAATTTGGGAACCAATGTGCAGTGGTTCCCAAACTTTTCAGCTTTTGACCCACAAAATAGTACAAAACAGTAGAAGAGTGCCTCCAAACATTTGTATCAGGTCAACAAAACATGGGCATTGTAATAATATTTATTATTCTACATTTATCCATTTTAAATACACTAACCTCACTCCTTTGTAACAACTAAGGCAAAAATGTAATTAATTCAGAAAATCTTTTCAGGACCCCACCTTGACGTTTCGGGACCCCACTTTGGGTCCCGACCCCAACTTTGGGAAACACTGGTTTAGATGAGTTCTTTGAAGCTGATTTTAGTGGAAATGGTGAGATTATGATCTCCACTCCTCTCCTGTTTGGGTTTTGGAAACCACAATTCCCACCCTGACACAGCTCCTGTTAGACAGCAATCTGATCAGATCAGGACATTTCACTTTGCACATATCTAATTTACTCTTCTACAGTTTGACCAGATACAAACCTTTAAGTTTTGTTTTATGCTGCATTCACACTGAACGTGTTTTGAGCATCAAAAACGCGTCAAACGCCTCAAGTCAGATGTTTGTGCTGTTTGAGGTCAGRCACTCGTCAAAACTGTTCTCGAGGTGAGTCATGTGCGTCAAGAGCCTCTGTTGTTTTCCTCTGTCGGTCTCTGTTTAAAGGTGGATGAAATAAAGGAAGTGGCTTTGCTTTATTTATGAGAGCAAAAGCATGTCAYGCTCACCGGATAATTAATTCACCAGATAGTTCAGAGACATTCTGAGTTTGGTGAGTTTCATCACCCAGAAGCTGTGAGCTGACTACCGGGTTCCTACAGTTAAAGCGTTAAATTTACGACTTTTTTAAGACTTTTTAATGCCAAGTGAAATAAAATTTAAGACCAATTTCACAATAAACAAATGACAAAAAAAATTAAAACTGTGGCAGAAACTCATGAATCAAAGTATTTTTGGTTGAATTATGAATTATTCAACCCAAGTTTGTTGTAGATAAAACCTCGAAGTGCCTGTGACATCAAATTTTTGTTAGAAATATGAATGTATTTTTGGAAAGACAACATTATTAACATATTAGAAAACGAATGACACATTGCTCAGATGAACAGTTGCTGAGATATTTGCATGTGAAATAACAGAAAGTGGTGTCAAAAGTGACTGTCTGAATGGGAATATTTCAAAAAGAAATATTTTTTAATCAATTATTTTAATATTTGATTCGAATTACAGTCATCCTACTTACAATGTGTTAACATTTTTAAGACTTCTGAAGATTGATTTAAGACCTTTTAAGGCCTTATTTTTGGCTTGATGAATTCAAGGCCTTTTAAGACTTTTTAAGGATGTGCAGGAACCCTGTGACGAGGCTCGCTTTCAGAACTATTTTTGTCCCGTTCCCCGACTGCCATTTGGGGAGGGGGTCCTGAAGAAGGGCGGACCGCCAGGTGCGGTCCTGGGCTGTGGGTGGGCTAGGGGCTTGGATGGTTGCCGGGGGCGGGGCTGGCTCTCCATCCTCCCTGGTGCTGCTTGGTCTCCTGAGGTGTGGCTCTTGGTTCCAGTGGGTGGCCCCCTGGCTGGGGTCGCTGCTGGGTTCCAGGGGGTGGACGGCTGGGGGGCACTTGGTCGCTGGCGGTGTGGTGGGGTGGTCATGGGTGTGGCTTCTCTGCGGCRGGGGGCTGGCCGGGCGTCCTGGTGCGGCCCGGGCCGGGCCTTGGCTATCTGCTCCTCTCCATCTCAGAATGACTGGGTCTACCTCCTGGGTTTGGGTGTGTGCTGCCTCCAATAGGGGGTGGGTGCATGTCCTGGACCTGGGGGGTATACAGTGTGTATCAGGGGTATGAGTGGAATGTGGCGTCCTTGTATGTCTTTGACTGAGTGGGGGTGAGGATGAGGGTGGGATGGTGCGATTGTGTATGTTTGGGTATTTGTCAGGCTGCGGTCTGGGCTGCCCCTACTGCTGGTTTATCTGGGGGGACCGCTGCTGCTCGGCCCCCCGGTGGAGTGTGCGGCTGGCCGCCAGCATGCTGGGGGTTCCCGGGGTCTGGGGCTGGGCGCTGGGGTATGTGCCGGCCTGGCCTGGTGACTGCCTGTTGGGGCTCGGGGCCTCTGGGCCTGTCGGGCTTTGGCCTGGAA